TCGTAACCACGATTCACTTTCTGTAAGTGGATACTGTGGGAAAACATGAGAATCGTGTTGATAAAAAACTTAATCTGAGCGGCATATGTTCCTCAAAAAACGTATCTCCTCTTGCAAATTAGTAGTTTTTAAACATAATTTCTAGGAGACAGGGTTAGTATGAAGCAAACAGGACAGGAAGAGAACCTGACAAGTATGAAATGCAGACTACTTTACATGTGAAGTGATTAAATCACAGACGCTCATGTAGCATAAGCATGTATTGATAATATGATGAATAAAATAACACATACCATGACAGAGGACTGTATCCATATCGCCAACCCCTGATTCAGCATAACATAATCAACCTTTGAAACTGTTAACTCAGAGTTTGAGCTGTTTGGAATATAAATTGTGTTTTTCAATCTAATGATACTGAAGCTTCTCAATACAGACCTTATTTGGTTGGCCACAAACTTGACATTGTTACAGCTGGAACGAAACAAGATGTACTACACACCACGACTTAATGTTGGTGTAATAGATCAAGCAAGCCTCGCATGCCGAGTTTGTCACGAGCACCACTTTTGGGTCAAGGAAAGAGTAGAGGGCCTGTTATGCAGAAAGTTGTAGGTCAAGATTTCTCATGTTGTAGGTAGGCGTTTTCTAAACTTCTATGCTGCTTAAATGTTTGAAAAAGAAAGAGGCACTTCAGCAGGGAAAAGTGCCTCTTTCTTGACTTAGTCTGTTTTAAACTGTCAAATAAACCTTTTAAACCAGTTCCTCCACTACTGTACCTGTGCAGTGCAGCACAGTAATATAACATGTCACTTTGACAGGTGCTGAGTGAATTAAAAACATCCTCTCTACTGAGAACCCTGTCTGAGAGGGAAACCCCCGCCAGATGTACTACAACCTCACTTTGCACGCATGATCAAACACCTACATCTGGGTGCTGAGGGCTTTTCTGCTCTTCCCTGCAGATGCTAAATGATATCGTTAACATTTTAATGCAAGAGACATTTACACGCGGGCTTGCGCAATTACACCTCTGATTCAGTGGAATCCAGACAGACACAGTGTGATCGGTAATTAGATTTTACATTGGGTGAAACGCAGCACACACACACACTCGCACCAGTCGCCAAAGCTTGCTCCTAATTAGAGAGCGAGACAGGCTCGAGGAGGTAGGGTACAGTAGAGTAGCCCTCATTATACAGCTAGGATGTATGAACTAGGGGATATCTATTATGATCACACATCAGGGTATCCATTACCCAATATTAGCGGCCCTTTCAACTGGAATCACACACAGAGTTCAGAATGTAACCCAACAAACCCTCTTATAACTCGCACAAGTGAGCAAGAGTTAAGTGGGTTTGTAAACTTAATTTAGTCCATTAGATATTCATATCAGAGTAAGACTGCACAAGATGATCTATCACTTCACTGTATGCTACGTGTTTTCATAGGGTAATTTAATTTCACGAGCTGTGATACTGCTTCTACAACCGAACCCTAATTGGTAATTAGTAAACAGACTAATGGCTGTGAGTGCAGCGTACGGCTGGTCAGGTTTCACTCTGGGGGCCTGTGAACGGCCACCATGGCCGCCAGGAGGCTGCTGATCTTTGGACATCTTTACACAGACTTAAGTATCACCTCCCAGCTCCAACAAATGGGGCTCTCATCAGTGCACTGCCCTCATCGCCCTCATGTAGATTTATTGCCATGCAAAAACCCGGTTCCCCCATTCTACTCGCAGCCAAGTTCAATCTATCTATCCAGCCAGGGTCCCCGTAGCATTTTCATCCAGTGTTTCAGGTTGCTAATAATGTGGGGTCATGTAAAATTGGCAGGCTAACTGATGTTGGCAGCTATTTACTGTACTGTAAGCTACAGTGGGCTAGATGCTTTGGAAGAAGAGCTTCCTTATTTCAAAGTAGATATGCATTGAGCCCGAGAAATGTCACAGCTAATTGAGATCAGAATTTGATTGTGTGATCCCCTGACCTCTGCGTAAAATGTTAATTTATTGAACACGTACAAGATAAGTCCTTTTTAAGTTGCGAGCATCAGGTTAAGCCGTGTGTATGCCTACAAATCATCGCAGTCTTCGTGGGGACTGAGTGAGAAGCCTTGTCTCGTTATATCTTTGCAATGAGAATTTGAATAGGCCAGTTTAACTTGCTGTGGTTTTGCCTAGAGGCAGCTTTCAGGGAGAGATATTTAATATGTTTCCTCTCCTGTACTGATGACTGAATTTATAGATTCTACTTTAATAGGCACAGGAAATAGCAAATGTGTAGGGTACAAGAAATAAATGTGCCTGTTGGCTGTCAGATGTAACATTACTTTTTTTTTTTTCTTAAATATCTAGAATATGCCAGAAGAGCAATCTAAGGACTGTGGTACTTTTTGCTTCTCTGTTATATAAACTTGTAATGATTTCCATGATGAAATCTGGTAAAATTTGTGAACATTGTGCAGACATGTATTTATTTCCCTTTTTTTTAAGCTGCTTGGTTGCCATTTGGCCCCTTATCACCTACGGGCACACTGATGTAACAGGATGTGATTAGCTCCTAATCAAGTACTTCTGGGTCAACTCAGCTTGCGACATGAGCCAAACTCACTATTCCATGTCATGAAGCATTCACTATATAGTCCACTATTTTCTGTGTCTGCCATTTTGTAGTGTTGTCCGATTTGTCTGCTATTATTCCTACAGACATACTGGACAAAAACGCTCCCACCATGCAATGCAGAAAGTAGTAAACAAGCACCAGACACAGTAACCAACAACCACTGTGGATTCCGAATAATCTGAACAGAGGCTGGTATTGTTTTGTTTGCCAACAGACAACAACACACCATATAGTTTTCTACCCCATATAGTGAAGAGTGAATGGGTGAACGTTTTCGGGCACAGCCCCTGACACCCATTAAGGAGGTTACCATAGAGACAGGCCAGTGAGCATGTGATAGGCCTAACTCTGAAACAGCAAGAATTGTCTGGAATCCAATCGCTGTGCTTGCTTGTATCTACAAGGTCATTCATTCATTCTGACAACGCCTGCTCAGCCGATGAACACCTCATTTTCATGATAATCAACAAAACATCCAACCGCAGAGGACAAAGTCAGATGGCTGGGTTCCTGTACAGTGATGGACAAATCAAATAAAATGACAACGCAAACAGCGAGTGATAAAAGCTCCACGATGGCAGTGCAAATGACGAACACAAAAAGTGTAATGTCTGCACTCAGCGCCGTCTACTGCTTAATCCCTATCAGTTGTTTGCCACAGGCCTCCTCAATAATCCCTTATGCAATAAACGGACACAATCTTGCATGGCAGTTGATCTAATGTCAGAGTCAGATGATTATGATTAATGAGGATTCCTTATTGTTCCTTTATGAGTTTCAGCACAAGCTGGGCTGAGGGAGATACAATTTTATATGGAGTCGATGTCAATAAACGGTACCGACTGAGGGTGGCTTCAGCCACTGAAAAAGGGACGACACAGAAACAAAATCCATTTCGAAGCCTTATTTTATTACCCCTGCCAGAAAGGAAAATCCATTTTGGGGGACACACCATATCATATCACAGCCCCTCGATGTGGTTAAACGTATTCATACCTGTAAATTCCCATTTGCCAAATTTTTGCTTTGTGAATTCAGCTTTTCTTGACCCTTTGATACAAATGTAGCCAACCGGAGGCTCGTTTTTGTCTCAATAGTGAACAATCCCCATCTTGTCGCCCTGCTGTGTTTTCTTACAGACATGTTTCCATTTTCTTTCCTTCTCCCTCTCCTTCTTCGACTCTCCCTTTTTCTTCCCCTGTTTTCGTACACACCCAGTCAGCCATAATCCCTCCCTGTAGAAGGGACTCTGGCCAATAAGTGAATGCAATAAACAGTATCAATTTTCTGCTATTGATTATGGATACACTATATGAGCACACAAATATGCGTGCATGGTGTCAGCCACATGCATGTGTGCACTGGTACACATGCACTCACGCAAATACACATGTGTACAAGAAAACAACACAGACAAGACGCACAACCAAATATGGGTGTTTGAATACAGTATTTGAATGGAGAATGAGACTTTCGGCTATTTGAATGGAAAATTTATTTCACATTTTTATGTTTGTGAACTGCTTTTGCATTTCCTGGAAAACTGTGACCTCGGTGAAATGTGTCTCATCAAAAACATTACACTTTTCTTTATCTTTAACATAAACAATTTAGTTTAATGGTGCTAATTTTCTCTCTGCAAACTTGACAGGTAAATAATATAAAGCTGTATTCAAATTTGTGCCAAAATTGGATGTAGAGCCATAAATACAATTGAATATTTTACATCAAATATGATCAAAATGAAAATATATATGAGTGATTCTTAAATATGTAATAAAATTATCATTTTACTGCATTATAGTAATTTAGGCCACTTTGAACTTGGAAATTATGCTCACTGTGGGGGAGGGGGAAGGGGTTAAACCAAATGTCCATTATATCAAATACGTCACTTATTACTAAGGGCCACAGTGGAGCATGGTTGTGACAGAATAAGTATCATTAGGGATCACATAAAAACAGAAACAAATTACTTTAATTGGATGTAAATTAAAAAAACAATTAAAACTTGCACCTTTAAAATCACATCCAACCTAAAACAATCAACCCAATAAATGAAATAGAGGTCCATCATTTATCCGTTTTATTTCACCCGGCTCAGGATGTATATCTGAAGGCCAGAGATGTGTCTAATGGTTTGTACGAGAGCTTGAAGGATTTAAAACGCAATTCATGCCTCGCCCGTCTCTCTCCCTCTATCAAGGGTGTCAGCCTTTTGACAACCATATAAAATCCATTTCATGTGGGTCACAGGTGACCTCCATCCTCCCTCTCCAGTCACTTAGCTGTCTACCAGTGATTTGCCTTCTACAGTAGGTAATGAGCACTAATAAAAAAAAAAAAAGAGAGAGAGTCGGTGAAACTTACCATTCAAGATGCTCTGGAAAAAGATTAAAGCCAATATCCACATGCCCTGCTCCGTTCAATCCCCCCCAAGCTATGCTTTCTCTTCTTCCTCCGACCGGTGCCTCCCTGGGTCTCTCTTCTGTGCGCTTGGGGTAAGGTTAAACATTTGCCACTGTCTTGAAGCGAACCGTTCCAAGTCTCTACTTTTAATATCTCCTTCCTACTTTTTCGTTACACACTTGATTTCTTTTTTCTCTGAGCCCTCTCTTTGCGCTTGGAACATAAATGAGCCTCTGTGATTGTCTTGGGGAGAGCTGTGCTCAGACTCTCCTCCTCTGCTCCGCGTCTTGCTGCTTTCTCCCTGTTATTCAAAAGGATGCTGAAGGGGTGAAGCCCAGGTGTGTGTGATGCTGAGTCAGAGCCGGGTACGAGCGGATCCTGAAACAAAAATGAATGCAAAAAAAAAAAAAAGAAACTGGCCAAACTAAATCTTTAAAAACAAAATGTCAGAAGCTCCGATTTTCTAAATAAAAGGCTGACTGACGGATCATCCTTGGGGGCAAAAAAATAAAGATTTTAGAAAATTAAAATAACTAAAAGAGGAAAGAAGCAAACATGGGGGAGAGGGTGGTAGAATAAGAATGAAAAGCAGGTTTTTTTCTGAGACTCCAAAGTCAGATCATCTTCATCGCCTCTGTGCGTCCAGCAAGAGGCGAGTAAGCGCATCTTCCCCGCTGCCGCTCTCTAATCGCACCACACTGACTCTCTGAGCATTACACAGAATAACCCTCTCCCTGCCCCTGCAGACGCTTTAATTCCTCATTGCCTTAAAGGAGCAGAGGCGGCTGCCGGTCGGTCCTGAGGGCAAGGTAGTACTACTGGAAGTGAGAATGTGAGAGCACACAGCGAGTGGGGCATTTGCATTAAGGAAATGAGCTGCACCTGACGCACCGAGGCACCTAGGATAACATTTTTACGCACGGAGATGTACCGGCTCAAACAGAAAGCGCTGTCTGCCGGTGTGCAGGTGCACTCAGTATACAGCGTTGTATACCAGATCTGGCTTGAATGAAGCCAATAGGGTATTGCTCTTGTGGAAAAAAACAGAAGAGTTCCCTGTGGGAATGGGACTATATACAAGGACATCCAATGACGCGTTTTTTCTGTGTTCATTTAAGTGCATGAATAAGGATTTTTTTTTGTAAGTGTTTAATTGAACCGCACTTTTACCTTGATTGAGATGGTTTAACCATTGTGTGGAAATAAAATGGAGAGAAAATGCAACATTTTGTCAGTGGTTTCAGAAAATACAGGGTTAAACTAAAGCATCCCCCACCCTAAAGGCGCTCGGCACACACATACACACTCCATACCGCCTCCCTCAACCCCATAATCCACCCACCACCACCACTCCATTTTAATGCCTGCCTTCAAGTCAAGGGTGTAGCTGTAGTAGGCAGTGGAAGCCTGTGGGCCTGTCCACAGAGCCGGGTTACACTGAACGTGATATAACCAGCAGGGCAGTCTGCATCTCATTCTCTATTCCACATGACAGAATATACTGAAATCCTGTTTATTTACCCCAGGATACTCATTTTCTGTGCTTATATCTAGACTGAGATAAGGGATCTTTACTATTCTGAATGTGTACAAAGGAAAATAAATAGGAAAAAAATAAGACATAGCGTGTGTGGATCAAATACTCTTGTCTGTCCTCATTATATTCATGGTGATATAAATGCTCAGTTCAGGTGTAGTTGTATATATGTTTGTATAAAAGAGCTAATTAGTCTAATCGCTGTGTGTTAATTGGGTGAGGCTTAACTACCTTTTCCTGGCTCCAATCGCAGGTGTTTTGATCAGCACATTTTTCTGTTGAACAGTCTTTCTATGTATGTCTACAGTATCTGTCCACTTGTCTGCCTGTCTCTCTCTCTTACAGCATTCACTCCAGGGCAGCAAACAAAAACACTGCTCTGCATTTGCTGAAGTCTGTACCAGAACACGCTGTTCTAGCTTTCCTTAAAATGGTATATCTCTCCTTTTTTTTGTCTGATGTATTCAGCCATGGCCCAAATTGAATTGTTCTTTCATCACTGATGTCCTCTTTTTGAACTACGGGTACATGAAAATGCATGTTTAATTGACTAAGAGGATCATTTTACTTATTCTATCCTTAAGCCGTAAGATAAACCCAAACAAGTTGAAGTGTCTGTAGCGCTGAGTAGAAAACATGGGTGAATCAGGGCAGTGGGTCAGAGATCCTGCCTGTCAGTTAGAGTGGATTAGGAGCACTGTGCTTGTGTTTCAGCTCAGGATTCTTGGCACGGATGGGCAAGTAAGTTCATTAGCAGTAACAGACTGTGAGATATGATCGTTTAAGAGGGAGGATGGAATATCAGCCTAGCTGCTAGGTTATCGGACCTTTGTTTTCCTTCACAAGATGCACATTCTGCTTCCCAGCACTGCCCTGTTGCACTCTTATATGGGTATACACTGTACATTACATTACCAAGGCTTCATCTTCCACTGCTTCTGAGCCATTTTAGTGTGGAAAGTGAAAGTAAAGCGCCTTGCTCAAGGGCACCTCTGCATTTTAAATTTATTTTCTCTGTTAAGTTTAAGGATGTGTGTGTATGATGCCTAAGGCAAAGCTTATTCATGCCCTACAGATAATCAACCACACTAGCACTACATTTAGTTTTCCCTGGTTCAGCCTTCAGCAATGTTAAATGGTAGAAGATTTTTTTTTGTCATTGAAGGTGACATTAGCAGCCAGCAAAGACAAACAAAACCCAAAGAGGGAGGAAAAAGATTGCCGACTGTGGGCTCAAGGGATTGGGAGAGGGGATCCATGGAATTAGAGGGTGCCATCTGACATTTTAGGGGAAATGAGGCAATGCTATAATCTAGCTCAGCAAACAGGATTTTATGAGAAGCTGAAATTAAAAATTTGGAAAAAGAAATGGAATAAGTAAAGAAATGCAAATCAAAAAGGTTATATTTGTTTGCGTGGGATGTGAAAACGAACGCTAAGACACACAGAACAATCAAGCCTTGTGTCATTTAAGCAGAAAAGAGGAGCGATGACTCTTTTCACCCCAGCTCATAGGCAAGGGTAACATTGGCAGGGGGGCTACGTATTGTGTGTACAGTATATACACACTCCCACCACTGTACACACACACACACATACGTGGGAGTTGCCCAGTATAAGCACAGTTTCACAAAGTGTGTTTGACAGCAAACAAACACAGAGTAACATCAACACTGACCAAATGACCTTACAACGATCAAATGACAGCAGGTGTTCATGATCGTCTCTATCATAGTCAAATTAGAGATATTAAAGGTTGCAAGAGATCGAAATAATTGTTCCTTAGTAAGTAGCCTACAGTGCTGTATGTATGACTCATATTTGATCCCTGTGTCTAATATTTGGTCAGTGAGGGTTTATTGCCCTTTCACCTTAAAAACTGTAATTAAAAAATAATTGCCTCCTTCTCTGTGTCCAAAAATATCCAAATTTATGAGGGAATAACACATGCATTAAAGTACACTCTAATCCCAGAGACACAATAAATAACAAGGACACAAAGAAACATACAGTTATAGCATTGTGGCACAGTGTGGCTTGTTGTAATTCTGGCGATACAAAGATCACAAAGATCACATTTAGCTGACTGTGCTGATACACACAGATCAAGTTTTTCTGTTGGTGACATATAGGGACTTCCATCCTTATGGAAAACAGGTGCTGGTGTTTATCACTTACACCCAGCAGACAGCTGTACAACTGAACAGGCTACTTGTGATGTGAAAGACAATACCTTGATTTTCATTTTGAAGACAAGAGAGCCTTGACCTTGTGACCAGTGAGCTGAGGTATGCAGTGCTAACCCCTAACAGATTATATTCAGGCATGTAGAGGAGGCACATATGTTTTCTAACTGCAAAACCATTGTTTATGTCCTAAAAGGGCTAATGTAAACCGAAGTTAAAGCTGAAGCCCTTAATGCTTTTTAACCAGTGTATCATTATCATATTCATCTGTTTGGCGGACTGTGGAGGAACACATAAACTTGAAAGTCATATATCATTTGTTTATAAAAGAAAAACTGTGGTAAACCCATCTTATTTATAGTTTTCTATCATGGTTCAATATATCCTCATGGCAACAGGTCATACATAAGACATTCACATATGCATGAAAATACTTAGATATATTATTAGATGAGCATAGAACCACATGGCCCAAGTAACATAATTCAGTTTGTCCACAACCATGTTTTGAAAATGAGTAGAGTAGATTTCTGGTGGGGTTTGAGTTTACTGTGTGGGTAGGGGGAGGGGAAGAGTGTAGTTCATTTTAGCCCCCCAGCATGATGCCTAAACAGTGGTAAGTGAATGTGACAATGAGGCCCCTGGGCTGCTGCAGACCGTCTTGGCCTTGCTGTGTGGCCATGCATGCGTGTCCGTCTGTGGGTGCGTTTGCATGTGCCACCATGTCTGTGTGTGGATACAAGGAAGGAAGCGGAGCACATATGAGACGATTCATGAACATTGCTCACCCAAGGTCATGACTCCTCTGACTGTGATACTCACACTGGCGTGCTTGGTGCTCTTTATTTTACTGCCAGCTTCATCATGGAATATAAAATAAGATAAAAGATATTAATCGGAGCAGTGGTAGCAGTGAGTGGAAGTTGTAGTATTTTAATATATCCCACACAGCAATGTTATCACTATAATGTGTGTTATCTTAACTATTCAATCATGTGTGAAAGCTGTTGATGTGTGCAGGTGAACTCACTCCATATACAATATATCAAAGGGGGACGTCCCATGAAGCTTGAGTTATTTATTTTTAGATCTTTGGGAAAATAAATATATAATGATAAACAATAGCACAAAAAGACATGTAAAGAACAGAAAAAAACATATTAGCTTAATTGGTGTTTAGGCCTTGAAAAAAGGTTAACATTAAAGAGAAATTATGGCTTTTGTCATATTTTTGTCCATTGACAATGGTGGTAATGGTACAGCCACAGGCACTTTCAGGGGACTACTTTCTGTGTGTACGTTCAGTCTGACTCAAAAATAAGTGTTCATTAGATCATTCCTTCAGCTCCTTGCCTCTATGCCCAAATCTCAAATGTAGTTAAAATATTATCACAACCAATAATGATAAATAGGAGAGCATGACCCAGGTTGAGAAGTACTTTATATGTCCCCTTTTAAGTGTTGCTTGGCATTAACATACATTAAACATCAGAGAAAATGCTTAAAACACTGCTACCACGCAGCTTAACCATACACTCTATCATGTGCTGTCCTCTGCCTCTGTAATGAATTGAGATCAGATAGGTAACAACACACAGTGCGCTTCAGTGGTCATGCTAATTACATCATAAGCTAAATCAAATCAAGGACTTCTTGTGATTTACTGAAACATATTCCAATACTGCTGTGGTCAAGTCTGCATGTAATCCTATTAATAACCATTGCCATTGCAATTAACAATATATAAACAATGATAATAAGATCTCAAAAGGCACATTTGCCTCTGCTATGTCTCTTCTTTTTCCATGCAACACCTTCCTCTCTGCAGGGCACTCACGCACCACACACCACACACATTCATACGCTAACACACAAGAGTGCCTTTGCCCCTCCCTGTCCCTCTGGCCGACCCTGTCCCTGGCGTGTGTGCAGACAGGCTGGGTAATCCCTCAGGATGGGGCCTCTTGTTTTGACAACTCCTGTGAAGCCCAGTGTCTCTTACAACAAAACACAGACTGGCCTATCATCAGCAAAATGTCAGCCCTCGGCCCACTCCTTCGTCACCCAAAGGAGGATCAGGTTGCCTTTACACTATGCGACCCATTAACTCAGAATAGAAACATTCTCAGCACCAGTATAATGATCCCCTTTGTTTGCTAAGACAATGACATTGATAAGAGACAAGCCGCGCTCGTGGCTCCTGATAGAAGTGGGTATAAGGTTACATGTTGCCAGGGTAGGAGTGATGTGGCTCTCAAACAGAGTTCAG